AACAAACTTGCGCGATACCAGCAGCTTGCCACGATGGTCGACGATTGTGAAACAGCGATGTGAATACACACGCACATATTTGTATATACAAGACTGCATTGGCGCTTCGCGCCATGCACCTTGGTCCTTGAAGTTTGGTGTGCAGGCGGAATGGCAGGAAGGGCAAGCCGACAATTTAGCGATAACTCCTTGTTGCCTTTTCCGGCATCGCCGCTATAACAATGTTTTTCGTTATCCTTCCTCCATGCTTCTTTTTCTTCATTTTCGCTATACCCTGCGCATTCTCCCCATCCTCCTCAGCTCTTTTTTGCGGAGGCTCCTCCTTGGAGAGCCTCTGGGGGCCCCACAAAAGTTGTTTCAGGCTTTCTTAAGGCCTTCTGGAGGCCTCCTGGGCGTATTCTGGGGGCCTCTGAGGGCTTCCTCGGGCCACCCTGCCTCCAACCGCGGTCTCCCTGAACGACGGGGTCACGATTTGGAATGCTTCGGAGGGTGTCTCGGGGCCATCTTGGGCCGCCATGGGGCTCTCTTGGACTGCCCAGAAGCCCTTTCGGATGGTTGTGGGGCGATTTTGGAGCCTCCAAGGCGGCTTCGGACGCCCAGAAGACCGCCGTCTTGGAGCGTCGGGAAGCCGAAAAGAGGATAACCCCCAAATTCACCAAAAACCAACAGAAAATCAATGATTTTTGCCTCTTGGGGCCTTCTTGGGAGTGCTCTTGGAGGCCTCTTTGGGACCGTCCTGGAGGCCTCTTGGGCCATCTGGAGGTCACGTCGGTCACTCTTGGAGCGCTCTTGTGCTGTCTTGGGGGTCTCTGGGACGTCTCCGATGACCCCCTTGATCGCCTTAGGTGTGCTGGGAAGGCTTGGCAAAACGCCCTGCGAGGCCCTGGGGGCCGCTTCGAGGCCCGTCCAGAGAGTCCCAAAGCCCCAGATCCGGGGAGTCCGGTTTTGGGGGGGCGGGGTGACCCCTTTCGCGTTCCGCCCGGATTGTAAAAATATACAAAAGGGAATATATATATATATATATATATATATATATATATACAGATGCCTCTGAGTATAATATATAACAGGTGGTGGTAGACCAAACGTGCTCAGGCAGTGCAAAGACAGTCTGGTTTCAATCGGTCGAAAGCTTTCGCCCAGTCAGGAAAAAGTAAACCCAGACCACCATTATTGCTCAACAAAGCTGTGTGATCATGTGCCGTACCAGCATGAGCGCGTCGGTGGTTCCCCATCGAGGCCAGAATCCAAATTGTGAGTTTCGTAGTCGTTCTTCAGATTCTCTTCGAAGAAATCGTTGGTGTAGCATGACCGCCAAGGCTTTCTATTCAATGCATAGTAATGAAATTGATCGGTAGTTGCTGGATAGTTCCGCGTTGCCTTTTTTGAGCAATAATACAAGGTTTGCATTCCGCCATGTGTGTGGTATGTCTTTGAAGCGCCAGCATTTTTGACATAATTCCAAAAGCGCTTCGCATGCGAATGTACATCGAGCTACAACCTTCCATACATCTGGCGGCACGTCGTCCGGCCCGGCTGCTTTACCATTATCCAATATCTTTAGTACGAACTGTAGCTCCGTGATAGTGCAATTCCCAATTTCAACGGGAGATCTGCACCAAGTGCACCAGTTGCGGTAGGCATCACATTCGCAAATTGCATCTGCCTTCGAAGTAGTCTGCCAATGCGTCTGGGCGGCCGGTGGTATCAGTAAGATGGTTGCTAAGATCCCAAGCTCCAGCATGGTTCGTCTGAGGCTTCTTCCGGAGTTTTTTGACGGCGTCCCAATTGCCACCAATGAGTGTCTTATTTATCCAGGTCGTGCGATCAGTCGGGGTGCTTTTCCGACTCAACGTCGCCTGACTATCTCGCGATGTTCCTCTGCTCGATAAGATTCAAAGTAGCTTGAGATACCCATGGTTTGTTTGCCGGCTGCTGTCTTGCCCGCAAGGTGGAAGACGCCGTAGCAAAAACATGTTCAACACGATCGGCCAATTCGTCCAAAGTACCGTCTAGAAGCGGAACTGCTTTCCATGAGTCGTAAATATTAGAAGTCAACTTCTCCTCTATCTCCGACTCCTGCATGGACGAAATATCAAAGCGACGCCGTTCATGGTGGTATTTTTGTTGAATTTTCAACGCGAAGTCCAAAGTGGTCAAATAGTGCTGGCTGCGCAAGGCGTTTGCTTGATGCGTCCTGCAATGCGTGACCCAAGGGAGAACGGACATATGACATATGACATAACACATGGTCGATCTAGGATAATTTCTCCGGCGTGATGTCCGTGCCTATGGGGTCGACACCAAGGTTTCGGCAGTATCAAATGATGTGTTTGCAATCGACATGCTTGCGGCAATACATAATTCGAGCAACAATTGTTTGTTCGATATTTTGCGTGCCGACTTCCGACTAGCATCTGCGAGGAATACATGTTGCCCAAAGTGCTGTTCTTCTCCAGGTCGCGGCTGCAGTAACTCTGCATTGAAATCTCCCAATAGCAGGGTTGTGCGGTATGGTGTCGTGGGCTGCACTGCTGATAGTAGCTCAGCGAAGCAATGCTGGCGATCCTCGTAATCATAACCGCTCTGTGATATGTAGGCGGATATAAGCAACAAGATCCCGTGTTGTACTCGAACTCGGAGCGTAGCCAAATTGGAAGTGAGCACCGGGAAAGCCACAATGGCGCCACGGGCCCACGGGGCCACAATAAGCCAACTCCCGCGACAGATCGTTGTTCTGGACGCTCTTCTCCAGATAAGAGAAATAACATCAAGTGGTGTTTCTTGGATGCGCAAGATATCAATCTAATTTCGAACCATTGATTGACAAAGTTCGGTAGGTTTGATGCACGAGTCCCCCTGGAGCCCTTCCACGTTCCAAGTCCCAAGGCATTGCGTGGATATTGGTGCACATCTTCGTCGTGATCTGAACCATGTGCGGCTTACCGTCGAAGATTTGGATAATGGTCCTGACATTGTGCAATTCGGAGCGACGGGGAAATCGGCGAAGTAAGAGTCGAAGCAAAAGTTGGACAAGATGTTGGAGACGAATGCGATGATCGATGTACGGGCTCGGTATCTTTGTCTGGGCCCAGACCTGCCCGAGGTAGCCCAGGAGAAGATCGAAGAGAATCAGAGACGGTATCCAGGGAAGTCGGATTGGAGTTTTTGCGACCTTGGTATTTGTGACCATGCCCGTCGAAAGTTCCATGGAGGAGTGGGGAGGAAGAAGAACCCGACCATGTAAGACATCGTCTCCGTCGGGCTGTCCATGAAGAGGTCGGTGAGGTACTTGCGGCAGAGATGGCTCTATGGTAGCTTTGCCCATGATCGCCAGTGAATTGCCTACCAGAGTATTTACAATATCCCAAACAGAGTAGTTTGCAATGGTAGCTTTGTCCAACTGGCGCCCGTCGTCCACAGAATTGTGAAACATATGATTGAATAGCCTTTCTCCTGCTGCTCCGGTATCAGGTCGGACTGGTTCCAATACTTGCCGTATTTCCTATTTTTCGCCTCCTCCTCCTCCTCCTCCTCCTCCTCCCTGTGCCCCTTTGCTCTTCCCCTTGGCACCTCCCTTCATGCCCTGCTGGGCCCGCTCCGTCAAAGTGTCACATTTTTCGGCCAACTCTGCTAGCTTGTGATGCTCGTGTAATTCTTTCCAGTTTACCCACGTTTCGGTCCAATCCTTCGTAATGCTCATGTCGTTCACGGTTACGGTAAGTGCTAGCTCTCTTCCCACCCGGACATCGTAGGGCGTCGTGTTTGTGACGTTGATGTTGTACGGGTTTTGAACGGTATTTTTCAACAAATATTTCAGCCCGAAGCAGAAGTTGCGCACTGCCCGCTCCGTCGGGAGACGGTCCAGGGAAGCCCAAATAGATTGGCCATTACGCTTCAGAGCTGCGCTCCTTCTGAGTGCCACTGCAGTCACGATCAAGCATGTTGGCAAATTCCAAGAATAGGATTGACGTGTTGTTGCCTTTCGTGTATGAGTTGTGCGGCTCTGGGCCCGCACACTGCGAGAGTTTATCCCAGAGCCAGGCGGACGCCGTGTGGAACATGTCGAAGCCGTCCAAGTTACCAACTACTGCTGTGTATGCCCGCTTGTCGGAGTCAGCCAGCGGCGCAGACTTAGATGATCGCGGAATTTGTTGATGTTTGAGCTGCTGGATTTCGTATTCCAATTCGTCCAGTTTCTGTTGAGTCACAGTGCCCGCGGTGCCATCAGACAAAGATCTCGCTGAAGTCGGCCGGGAAGGTCCCGTTTCGAGTGCCGCGACACTGACCGTTAGGGATTCCATATTTTGCTTCAAGTTGGTAAGGTCTTCTTGCGACACCCCGCGCTGTTTTATTGCTTGAATGTCGCTCCTGATCGACCCCGACTGTTCGTTCAGGATATGCTTGAACATCTGCGCAGTAAGAGGTTGATCGGCTCCAAGTGTATTGTTGTGATCGGCGTCTTGCAGACATTGCATTGCGCTAGGGTCTCCGGTTGTAGCAGGGGCCTCTTGTTCCATGGGTCGCCGGCTCTGCGGAGGGCTGCTCCCCCTACGAGGCTGCTTGAGGGCACTCCATGTGGGTGCTCCACTTTCGAATTTTTCAGCGCTTTTCAGATTGGGCTGCCGATGCAGATGCCGAGGCCGTCCTTGACAGGAGTGCCAGCTGTACGAGTTGGTTTCGCTGCTGGCTGAGACGACATATCTGATCTCCAAGCGCCCGTAATGAGGAGCAAGAAGGAACAATAATGGATAAGATGTAAAGGGGGAAATTGGGAATGTAGTGTAAGCAGAACGACTTGAGCCAAAATGGCTACGACTTGAGGCGGCTCGGTGAGGGTGTGTCTCGAGGGCCACGGGCGGCAGCAGCGGCAGCGGCAGCGGCGTCGGCAGCAGGGGTAGTGCGGCGTGTGGTATTTCGGGGTGGCACTGCGGCAGTGCCGCGCGGCATCGGCGGCGACGCTGGCCGCCCCACTGGAATAAAGGGGGTCCCCGAGGGAGGCGCGCTGGCGTTCGCCGCGGACCCTGCCGACGCGCAGGCGAGGCTTCAGATGCAGATGGACGCGGCCCAGGCCTGCTGCTGGAGGAGGAGTGGGAGGGGGAGGAGGAGGAGGAGGAGAAGGAGGAGGAGGAGGAGGAGGAGGAGGAGGAGGGAGGAGGAGGAGGGCCAGTGCAAATCCAAGACTCATCAACCATGTTGCAAGAAATCCTTCCTCCCCTCCAAGTTCCCTTCTTCATAGTGCTTCTGTACGAAGAGCCCCGTTGGAAGACAACCGTTTGAAAAATCTTCAACCGTGCCAACACACCATTCCTGGGACGTCAACGCCGCGAATTCACGTTACTGTTGCGACCTGACGATCCTAAGTCGTGCGAGAATGTTCTTTCTGGGACGCCATCACCGCGAATGAGCGTGACCGTCGCGCCCGGACAATCCGACATCGTGCCAAAACATCGTCTCTGTGACGTCGATCATGAGAGCCCTTGGGACTGCTGCAACAACTGTTGGAACGAGCGTGCGCGGCGCCAATGCCAGAGCCACACTTTGACAAGGAACCGCCCTCGGGAACTGCCCGGCGGGACGCCGGCACGGCACGGGCTGACCCGCTGTGCCGTGGTAGGCTCTGGACCATGACTGCGACGGGCAGCTCGTGCGCCGAGCCCGCCGCCGGCCAGCACCCAGACTGCCAGATGGGCCCGTCGTCGCCGCTTCGAAAGTCTGGTCAGGACGCGCCCCAGGGCGGCCAATTTGAGCAGATCGCCCCAGGGCGGCTGCGGCAGGTTTGTGCCTCCTCGACGCGGCGGCGGCGGCGACGCTGGCGCGAGCGTTCAAGGTTGGCCACCCTCTGGGTGCTCATTTCAGGCCGCTGGACAAAGAAGAACACCCTCGAGGCGAAATCTAGACGACACATGTGGTCGACAGCTCCTGGTCTCCAAGAGCGAACATCTTTCGAATGGCCTTGGGACCGTGCCTGGGTTGTGGGTCAGAGTTCTCAGGGATGCTTCTTCGGGTCTGTTGAGAGCGCTCGGGGGTCTCTTGGGAGCAGCTTTGGGGTCTCGTGGGGGCCTCTTTGGGGCCTCCTGGGGGCCCTCGAGCCGAGGGCTCGAAAGGTCCGTTTGGGTTCTCCGTCTGGGCTCCCCTCTTGGGGCCGTCTTTGGGAACTCTTGGGCCGTCTTGGGCACCTCTTGGGCCGTTGTGGGGCCCTCTTGGGTCGTCTTGGGGCCCTCTTGGGGGCCTCTGGGGCCGTCTTGGGGCGATCTTTTAGGCCTCTTGGGGTGTCTTAGAGGCCTCTTGGGCCGTCTGGAGGCCATCTAGGGCGTTTTGGAACAATCTTTCGTTGACCAGGGGCCCTCTTGGACCATCTCGGGGACCTCTCGGGGCCCTCTGAGCCCGTCTTGGGGCCCTCTTGGGCCCGAAGAAGTCACGCGAGAAGATGCGGCAAGCCCCCGACAAGCTGCACCAAGGCAAAGAAGATTTGGGAACTTGGGCTCCTTGCCCCTGTGGAACCCTCAAGCTTGAGGATTGAGGCTCAGGGGATGAGACACAGAATCTGAGGACACGCCCACTCCTTACCCAGAGGCACGGTAGCGGATCTTTCAGTATTGCACGAACGGTTCACGAGGTGTCGCAATCCAAGGCCCAAGTCGTGATGGCGGCAATTAGCCGTGGAAGCATGCTGTAAGGAGTAATGCCACCCAGGCTCTCTTTTAGCAGTAGGTTCGGCTACGTTTTTCTTTGGTATATGCAATCCCAATATGCAGTAGGGAGGGAGGGAGGAGGGATAGGATTGATGAGGGTGACGGGGAGACACTTCATGTCCACGTGGAGGTACGCTGTACCTCGTACTTCAGCCCTGACAGGACGGATGCTGAGGGAATCGGCAGACTATTTTCTGTCGTCTGCCTGTGTGTCGGGTCGGGGGGTCGACATGCATTGTTCGACAATCCTCATCCTCAACGTCCTCGTCCTCCGTCCTCCTCCTCCTCCGTACTCTTCTTTTCCGTCCGACTCTTTTGTCGTGCGTGTGGGCTCGAGGTCTATGGCATGTTACCCAGGGCCTCGCCCCAGGGTTTATTGTTTTGGGCCGCTGGCATCGGGCGCAGGACCTCGCCCCCTGCGGAAATTCCCCCTCCTCTCCAGAATGCCGTCGCCATCGCAGTCGCCGTCGCCGTCGCCGTCGTCGTCGTCGTCGTTGTTGTCGTCGTTGGCGAGTCGAGTCAGATGGGCGGGCGGGAGGTCGTCGTCGTGGGCGAGTCGGTCGGGCGGGCAAGCGGGCGGGACTCGTCGTCGCCGTCGTCGTCGTCGTCGTCGTCGTCGTCGTCGTCGTCGTCGTCGTTTGCCGGCACTGGGGCGGGCGGGCAGGTCGTCGTCGTCGTCGTCGTCGTTGTCGCGGTCCTCGTTGTCGTCGTCGTCATCGTCGTCTTCGTCGTCTTCGTCCTCGTTGTCGTCCTCATCCTCGTTGTCCTCGTTTGCCGCCGCGGGGGGGCCTTGAGTGAGGTGGGTGGGGGGTTCGACCCCCCCGTCTTTCAATTTCGAGGGGTGTGTGGGAGGGGGGTGATACGGGCCCCCCAGACCCCCCGGGGACTTTGTTGAGGGGAGGCGAGGCGATTTGCACCCCTCCTTGACTGCCTCCCAGCGCACTCAGGAAACGTTCTTTCGAATCACATCACACAACAACCTACACTCTCCATATTCTGCGACGGCTGCCAGTCACATGGCCACTGTGCGTCCCAATATGACTGTCTGCAATGGCTCTATCGTTCACTGAGGCATCACGCTACCACGAGCCCCATCCGTCGTGAGTTGGAGCCAATTTCGAAAACACCTTCCTTCCCTCCCCCTTCTCTTCCCTCCCTGCTCCCTCATCCTCCTTCCTCCTCCGCCTCCTCCGCCTCCTCTTCCTTCCTCCGCCTCCTCCTCCTTACTCCGCCTCCTCCTCCTCCTCCTCCCTCCCTCCCTCCCCCTCCTTCCATCCCTCCCTCCCTCCCTTCCTCCTTCCCTCCCCCTCCTCCGTCCTCTTCCTCATTCCCTCGTTGGGGCTGCACTGGATCCAGTCCCTCTGCCTCCCCGCCGTCTCTTCCTTGAACGGAGTCGGGGATTGCGGCGTGGGCGGAGTGTCGGGGTGTGCTTGCAGCGAGCGAGTGGGCCTTGCTCTAGAGGGGGTCGTTGGGCAGATAATCGAGTGTGCTTGCGGCGAGTTGGCTGGGCGTCCTGCTCTTGTGAGAGCTGCTCGGAAAGGCATCCAGAGGAGGCCGACGAGGATGGCGATGACGACGATGATGGCGATGCTGCTTCGGATGAACATGATGATGCTGATGCTGATGATGATGATGCTGATGATGACGATGAAGATGATGATGAGGATGCTGCTGCTGATGATGATGCTGATGCTGATGCTGGTGCTGATGCTGATATTGGTGGTCATGGTCGTGCTGCTGATGATGATGATGATGATGATGATGATGGTGGTGGTGGTGGTGATGATGCTACTGATGATGACGATGCTGCTGATGATGCTGATGATGATAATGATGATAGTGATGATGATGATGGTGATGCTGAAGAGGAGCAGGAGACGGAGGAGGAGGAGGACCAGTGTATCTAAACCCAAACGCACCAACGATTTTGCAATAGACCCTGTAAGCTCCTTCTTGATAGGTCGCTATGAGGAACTATTCTCATTGCGGGAAGTGGCCCATGAGGAGACAGTTGCATGAGAATCCCCAGTCGTGCCAGCACAGACTTTCTGGGGCTTCAACGCCGCGGATCAACTTGACTGTTGCGTCCTGACAAGTGTAAACTCGTGCCAAAACACCGTTTTTGTAAAGGTGTCCTGACAATGTTAAACCGCACCAGATCACAATTTCTGGGGCTTCAACCCTATGAGCCCATGAGCCAGCCGGTCGCAAACTTTTGAGACGAGTGTGCGCGGCGCAAAGGCGAGAGGCACATTTTGAACATGAGTCGTCCTCCATCCTTGACACTGTTGGACATTTGTAAGGCGAATGTGCGCTGCGCTCAGGCGAGAACCATATTTTGAAAAGGACTTGTCCTCCATCCTGGAAAGCTGCTGGTAACTTTGATTGCGAATGTGCGCGGTGCTAAGGCGGTAGCCACCCTTTGAAAAGGTATCGCCCTCCATTCGTGAACCTGTTGCAACCTTTTAGGACGAATGTGCGCGGCGCTATGGCGAAAGCCACATTTTGAGAACCACCCGCCCTCCATCCGTAAAGCCGTTGCACATGTCAAGCTTACGTAAGGGTCAAACACGGTGTGGAAGTCTCAGGCGGAACGCCTGGCCCGCCCTTCCGACACAATGTGGGGTACGACAGGGAGGAGTGATTCATACGGAGAAGGGGTGGGAGGAGGAAGACGAGGTGCATGAGAATGACATGAGGAGCATGATGAGGATATTGATGAGGACGTGGTGCACGAGGCAGGAAGGCGTCCGATGCGATGGGTGAGGGATGACGGGGAAGCGGAGGCTCCTCCCCCAGACATGTATATATATATATATATGTGATTACCACGGCTGCACTCGTCATAATTGTTTCAAATGGCCTTGGGGAGGGGGGATATGATATGGCTTAACAGACTGAAAGAGGGAGAGGAGGATGCTACTGGAGGTTAGGACAGGAACCGCAGAGAGGAGGAGGGAGATAAAGAGCAGCATAATAGTGAGGAGGAGGAGGAAGTGATGGCAAGATTATGATGATGAGGCTGACGATGATGCGATGATGGTGATGATGCTGATGAGGAGGATGATGCTGCGGGTAATGATTATGCAGATGCTGATGCTGATGCTGATTATGATGATGAAGACGACGATGATGATGCTAATTGTGCTGATGCTGCTGATGATGCTGCTGCTGATGACGATGGTCGTGATGGAGATGGTCATTGTTGTGATGACGATGATGATGATGATGATGATGATGATGATGATGATGATGGTGATGATGATCATGATGATGCTGATGATGATGATTATCATAATGATTCTGATGCTAATGCTAATGCTGCTGCTGATGGTGATGATGACGCTACTGATGATGATAATTCTTCTGCTGCTGA